ATTTACAGCTTCAGCTCTTCTCATTGTTTCCTGCTCTTTGCAGTGTCCAGATCAAGCACTTCACTCACACTGATCACTGGAAATCTGACTTTCCTAAATGCTAAGGTGCTTCAAAAGTTCATTATCATATAAAAATAAACCTGATTTATGCTGATGTGCTTTTCTAGACCCCAGCTCATTAGCTGATACTTATTTGCTTTTGCTTTTTTTTTTCCATGCACAATAGTATTGTCTCTATAAAAAGACAGTCTTATACCTTCCCTTTCAATCTATGCATCATCAACATCTTTCATATCTGCTGGGATTTCTAGTTCAATGGAAAATACAAAAGAAGAAAGTACACAATCTTGCCTTTTTCTTGACGAAAGGAAAGAAAGATTACAGATCATCAGCAAATTCACAAATTTTTTTGAAAAATATCTACTTATTCATTTAGAACATCACAATGTCACAGAGAAGGCGAGATGGAGATCTTTGGTCTGCTAGCTTGCTCTCCAGATAGTTGCAACAGCCAATACTGGGCCAAGCCAAGCTCAGGAGCCAGGAACTTCACCCGAGTACCAGACACAGGCAGCAGGGGTCCAGAACTTGGGCAACCCTCCTCTGCTTTTACTGGGCCATTAGCAGGGAACTGAATCAGAAGCGGGGCAGCCAACACAAAGCGGCACTTGTACGGAGTGCTCGTTTTTCAGGCAGTGGCCTTACCTGCTATGGGCCCAGCTATAGGTTATTCACAGATGCACAGTATTAGATTGATAAGTTCTTTTGTTCCAAGTTCAGTATGAGCTCTTACAATGAAAGGGTGCTGTTTTTGTGTATCTAGGAAGTCGATCACTTGGCTTTTCTCCTTTACTGTTTTACTAAGGTGAACTGTATGGTTCCCATTTGAAACACTTGTTGCATCCTGAGCTCAGCAGCCTGCTCCCTATTGGTCACCCTTTTCATAGCTTACTGCTTCATGTGTTTTGTCTAGCTAGGTAGCTGTTTACAATGCAGGTAAATTCGGCATCTGTTACTATAAGCTGGAAAGGAAATTGACAAATGAGAATCCATATACAGTTCACTGTGCAGATAAAAAAGGCAAATCAATCTGCAGGTAGTTCTGATTTGGAAAGGAGCCAGAAGAGAAGAAGGAGCCGAGAAATCACAGTGCATGAAGTTCTGGGTAAGCAGGTGAAGGTCTGGCACTTGTTGTTTCCGCTTCAGCTTATCCCTTTTCTCTGTTTTCTAGCCCACATTCTCTTTCCATTTTATTCTCACCAAGTTGACTACGACATACTTAGCCATGGTTTTCACTGTCCTCATATTACCTTGCTTAGGCCTCACTGTTATGACTCACAGGTACTATGTTCTGAAGTAATTAATTGTATTAACAAGCTATTTGAAGTACCACCATTAAATCACAAAGTTACACTAACAAATTAAAATTGGGAAATAAACATGACTTAATTTTAATTTAGTAAGATGGAATTGATCAATACACAATGTATATCTATTCTAACATATCACTGTAGAAGTATAATTGTCCACTGTATAAGATGTGTAATAATTACCTGCCAATTAAAGAAAAAGAAATAGGCATTCTCTAGAAAAAAAGATGTATTAATCTTGAAAAATCATTGGGAATGATTGCTTATATTATTTATATATTCATAAACAAGCATTTACTAAATAGCTTAAATCAACAGTAGAAAGCAAAAGTTCGTTCAATAGAATGTGTAATTTCCAAAAGTCTTACTACTTCCTTCATTTGCAGAAACATCTTGGGTTTTTCAGACAGAAGGCGAGCTGCCAGTATCAATTCACACTTAAACAAACTCTTTGCCAACGAAAACTGAAACACCTGTATGAATTAACTAAATTGTTCCCATTTTCAACAATAAAAGGAAATTAAAAGCATTATGCATGTCACTGGTTTGGCTCATGTGTAAGGAAATAACGCAGCTATCACAGCTAATTTTAAATCATCAAGCCCATATGGCATGAATGGCCCTCTGAGACATGGGGTGTTTTTGCTATGACTCAGTTTTCCTGAGCCATGCAGATAGAGTATCTCAAGAATAGCACCACAAAAAGACAATATTAAACAAAGCTATCATTTTAGCTCAAGTGTCTGATTTTCTGAATTACAATACTTTCCCAACATATCTCAATATGCTGTATCCAGGGACAAAAATTTCTCCCCCCAAAAAAGAGATTTTGCCATTATTCAAGGAGACTGCAGGAGAGTTGACTAAAACTCACCAAAATTCATGACCAATAAGTCATTTGGTTTATTTTACAATTAATAAATATTTATCAAGTGCCAAATAACCATGGTCCTTATCTCTCCAAGTACTTACAATCTGCTGGTGAGAACACTGGAACGTCCACTGTACTTGCTCTTCTGTAACAGAGCAGAATACCTCATCTCTATAGGTTGTAGCCCCAGTTCCAGCCACCCAGTGCTGGCACGGCAGGAAAGCGCATGCTCAGCAAACAGACCATAGTCTTTCTTTCCTGTCTCCTCCTTTGCTTCTATCTCTACAGCCAGTTCCAAAAAGCTCTCCACTCTTTAGGTTGTCCAAAACAGGAACTCTTCCTACAAGGCAGTGACTGGATGGCCTGGCACATCCCGATGATTTGAGTGCACCAGCCACTACTACCGCAGGAGGACTTTCTTACATTTTCTTCAGTTTGTCCTTCAAGACAAGTTTGGAGTGTTGAGGCATGGAATCACTGCCCCTTCTCTCATTCTGCACCAGAGTGAAACAAAACTAGTGACAGAATCAAATACCGTGATACAATGACAGAAATCAGTCCCACTCAGGGTTGTGCTATATTTCATTTATTCTTCTACTTCTGTCTACATTTATTCAGCAACAATTATTTGTAAAGCACTGAAACACTACCAGGTCCTGTAAAATACCCCAAAAGCAGGGATCAGAGTCTTGTAAAGAAAGGACACTTAACTACCTACAGCATAAGCTAAAACAAAACAAACAAACAAAAACCTTGCTAAAAGAGAGGCACAGACAGAAGTTCCAGAGATCTGAAGTGGGATAGCACCGACAACTGATCCTTCTTATCAAATATTTTCAGAGTAACATGTGACACAAACACACCTCAGTATCCACAGGGAATTGGTCCCATGACTCTTAAAGATATCAAAATCATTAGATGCCTGAGTAAAATAGTGTAGCACCTGCATATAACACATTGTAGCTTAGACACAAATGTGAGGGACATAGCTGCTATACAGTATTGCTTAGAGAATGATAAGTAAACAAACTGTAATACTCTATACATATGTAATGCAGATGCATTATTTCAAATATTTTGAGTTGCTGCAGGGCCCTGCCTCAATTGCAGAGGGCCACTGTATACATAAAATTTCTTCTGTGAATCCACGGGCCTCTTCTAATTCATTGTCTCATCCACCTTTGAGTCAGGCACAAAGAAGGAACAGAAGACCGAGAGCTGAAAAGAGGCAGCGATAAAGCCTAATTTGTGCTTTTCCGGCATATTCTAAATGCTTCATTTGAGTGAACAGAAAATGTGGGGAGGGGGATGAGAGAGAGAGAAGGGAAAGAGAAGACGACCACAGTACAGAAGGCAAAGGACACAGGGCTTCCTTCTGAAAAGCCTTCCTCATACGGAAAGTTCTCCCTTTACTGTTTAGCAATTCAAGAGTGAGCCTTTGATGGTGAGGTACTGCCATCAAACAGTTTTTCCCCAAAAACAGATCAGTTCTCAGGTTCTGATTTGAAAGGGATCTGGAGGAGAAAGCAAAGAAGAAAAATGATGCTGTCTCTTGGGAGAGGGATGGGGGAGTAAGAAACTTGAATTGATTATCTTCATTGGAGGACAGGAGGGAACAGCTACCTGCCATGAGGAACAGAGGGAGAATCTCACCAGTACACTGGGCCAAAATTAGGTGAACAAAAGAAAAAAGTCTTCAAGAAGTAAACAAAAATAACCTCACCCACAAGAAATACTTTTTAAAAAAATGTATCGTGTTAGACTGTAAAAAGAGTGTTCTACTGTTTCTTTGGATAACTATGGATTATACATATACCACAATCAGCTGCTTAGAGACCAATCCTAAAATTAGCTACCCTCCCCGCGGGAGACAATCAGTAACATAATTGCAGACATCAGAATAAACCCAAGACTCAAATATTCATCCAGCTCTTCACCACCTGCCACCAACTGCAGCTCAAGGCCACTGCAGGTTCCCCATCACCACACCACACAGGCCTGTGACCAGCACCACCCTCCTAGTGAGAGCTCCCCTGCGTACATCCTCTGAAAAAGCCACCCCACCCCATCCCCACTCCCCATCCTGCTTTGTTTCTCTTTAGCACTTCCCTTAAATAGCAATCTCACTACCTGTATGCTGTTCAGGAAGGGAAAGACCTTGCTTATAGCTGCATTATCAACAATGAGCACCACAGCTTTATACATGCATGTGAATATGCATATTTCAAATATATATATATATAATTTAACAGATATCAGTTGAATAAATAAACGGAAAGTACACAGTAAGATTTCTATGCATTTTCCATTCCCTTTTTCACTCTGCAACAGCCAGGACTGGGTCAGGAGAATCTAGAAGGAGAGAGCCCCATTCAGGCCTGCCACCTGGATGACAAGGACTCGTGCTCTCCTGCTCTGAGCCCTTGTTCATGTAAGCATCACCCTCAGTTTCACGCAAACCAGTGAGACTTCAGTAGCTCTGTCTGTCACTTCGCTTTTTCATTCAACGCAACACAGATTAGCTCCTAGGACAAAACAACGAAATATCTGACCACTGCCCTCAAACCTGGCAAGCATAAAGAAAAGCAGCTACATGTCAGTCAGCAGCAAGACACAGGACTTAGAAATTGAATTTTTTTTCCTCTGTAATCTTAGATCACACTATTTCAACATGAACAATCAATGCAAACAAGAACAAATAATAAAACAAAACATAATTTACAAGGAAACCCCCGGCGAAGGAAAAAGATGTTACTCACTGATGTAAATGCCAGCAGCTCCTCTTCAGTTAATTTATGCACTGGGTTATTCTTTTGGAAATTTGTGCTTTACAATGCAGAAACAAGAAATTAATTATAAAATGCAAGTTGTGCCTGTTAAACCACTATTTAATAAAAAGCAAGGTAAATTTCTATCTTTATATTTGAAGGCATATATTGTGATATTACAGAATTATATACAAATGTAGCTAAGAGTTGGCCCAAGGTAAGAAAAAAAATTCCTAAAATGCTCACAAATGAAATGTAGTTCCTATACTAAATGTCAAAATAATTTACTTTACAAGGAAAATAAGAAATCCAACCTGTGCTATTTCACTAAAAAAATGAAAAGAATTACTCTGTCATCAACTCTTATTTACTAAACACACCAGAAAAAAGAACTATTATAACTACTAGATAGACAAAAATTTTGTAAACTGACGCATAATGTTGAAAGGTTCCCAACATGAAAAAATAGTTTCGGGCCTGGTGCAACAGCTCAATGGCTAAAGCCTCGCCTTGCAACACAGGGACCCCATATGGGCAACACTTAGTTTCCCAGTTCCTCTACATCATCCAGCTCCCTGCCTGTGGCCTGCGAAAGCAGTCAAGGACGGCCCAAAGCCTTGGGACCCTGCACCCGCGTGGGAGACCTGGAAGAAGCTCGTTGATCCTGGTTTCGGGTTGGCTCAGCTGCAGCTGCTGTGGCTGCTTGAAGAGTGAATCAATGGATATAAGATCTTCCTCTCTGTCTCCCTCTGCTCTGTATAAATGTATATCTGACTTTCTAATAAAAATAAATAAATAAATCTTCAGGGTGGGAATTGTGGGAAGGGAAATCCCAGACTATACAGAATACCATAAAATTAAAAATTACAAAGATTTTAAGTAATAAAAATAAATAATTCTTACAAAAGAAAATAGTTTAAGGGGATGGATATGCTAATAACTGATTTAATTATTACATGGTATAGGAGGTACTTACAAAACTTTCTGGAAGAAATAATTAAAATATGTTTATTTTTATATGATGATCTCTTAAAATTCAAACAGTAAAAATATACACATTTCCATGAACTTCTTGAAGACCCCTCAAAAACATGTTTTGAATTATCACAATATGATCTCTTTTAAACAAATAAAAAGGGAATTCAAAACTGAATTCAACAGAACTGCTAGTACATAAGAGGTAAACTGCTAATGAAGTAAACGCTAAAGGAGTTCTGAGCTAAAAAAGTTTTTTTTTCACGTACTCCTTCCCTAAATCACCTATTGTTGACTCACTGCTCTCAATATCATAACTAGAGATATTTACCTTTAACATTCTATCTCTGATGAGAATCAGATATTTATATAATCTAACTTCCCACAAAATACCAGTTATGAAGCTACAAGGAATAATTTTACATTGGAGAGGCCAAACCACAGTACCTTAGGGGTGGGTGTGTGGCCGTAGCATTCGGGATCAGCTGCTGAGGGGCAGTCCCCTCGGCCCCTGCTTCTAACTGTCTGCTGGTGCGCACTCCAGGCTGCTGTGGGTCACGGCTACGGCTGCCTGCCATCCATGCAGAACACCTGCATTGGGTTCTCAGCTGCCAACTTTGCCCTAATCTAGCCCAGCCCGGTCTTGCAGGGATTCAGGAAGTGACCCAGAAGATGGGAGGCTGCCCTCTCTGTCTTTGCACAAGAATAAAAATAAATTTCCACTTCAATTGTGTGAACAAAGTTAACAGTACCAATACTAGGAAAAAAACAAGATTATGTTCCATGTCCTAGAAGCCAATGAGAAATAGAACACTTATTTTCTCTCGTTTTCCTGCTAACAATGCATACGGTAAATATAATCACCAAGAGAAAAAAAATGGCTTGTAAATTTCAAATACAAACATCATGAAAGCAAAATAAACATGAGTAACAATTCTAGACTGCTAGAGACTAATAAATAAGACATGAAAATTCAATGCAACACGTATGATCTGAACTGGATCTTTTGTTCTAAAGCAGATTGTCTGCACAACTGGCAAAATATAAAAGAGGTCTGAGAATTAAGACATAGCAAAAATTACACTGTTCATTTTCTGATTTTGATAGTTGTTCCATGGCCATATGTATAAAATAGTATTGAAACCACTAACGTGCTCAGGGATGAAGATAGAAAGCGTGGGAAAAACTCAAAAGTTCTTTGTGCTGCCCTGCCCTTGCAACATTTTAAAACTGTTTTTTAAAATCTATTAAAAATCATTCTATTTTGATATGTAAATATCCTCAAGGGTAAAAATAGTTATTCTCATCTATCCTTAGCAGTTTAATAACAATCTACTCTGGGCTAGGCATTTGGATTAAGATGTGAGATGCCAAGTAGAGTATTGGCATTCTATACTGGAGCATTAGGGTTTGATTCTCAGCAGAAGGCTCACATAACTAGTGCTTCACTCCCAGGCTTGTGGCCATGAAGGGAGTGAACAGCAGATGGCACCTCTTTTTCTTACTCTGGACTTCAATCAGAGAGAGAGAGAGACAGAGAGAGAGAGAGAATGTGTGTGCATCACTGCCTTTCAAAGAAATAAGGAACAATTCACTAAAACAAAAGAAAAATCCAATCTACTCTTAGCTAAGACTAACCAATGAAATTTCCTTTATAAAGGAAAGAAAATTGTGTACATCAATCCACAGGAAATTCCTACTCGGCTGCCCAAGAATTCCCTTCATATCTATTACAAAATTCCCTGTTCATCCAGAACCTTTAAGACTTCTAAAAGTGCAGGTGGACGAACGTGCAAGGTGATCAAGTAGTCCAGGCTTCACTTACCAGACTCCAAGGATTACAGCCAGCTCCTCAGCACACAGCGCAGGCATCTGAAACTGCTCACTATCGGCTAACTTGATCTCATTCAGAACAGTATCATCATTGAGCTCAAGATTCTGGCAGGACACAAAGGAGAATATTTAGACCAAAACTTAAATCTGAGTCATTCAAATGAATGATACATAACAGATTGCCCAGGAGGATAAAGATAAGCCACCTTTTAGGGTCTTTACAATGTCTACTAAGACCAATGGGTCAATGGTGGGAACATATCTCGACACAATTTACCTTGCAGAAATGGAAGATGTCCCCTCTACTTCTGAACAATGCACTGACACCGGCAATAAAAAGGAGAAATATTTCATTAAGCCTATTATAGAAAAGCCCCTGTGAGGACTTGCTTTGTGGTACAGCAAATTGAGCAACCACTAGTAAAAAAAAAGCTTTTAAAAAAAGGTTTATTGGGCCTGGTGCAAGGGTGCTGGTTTGTGTCTTGGTTCCTCACTTCCCTTCCAGATCCCTGGTTGTGGCCGAGAAAGCAGTGGAGGACAGCTCAAAGCCTTGGGACCCTACATCTGCATGGGAGACCTGAAGGAAGCTCCTGTCTCCTGGATTTGGATCAGCTCAGCTCCGGCCATCATGGCCACTTGCGGAGTGAACCAGCAGACAGATCCTTCTCTCTGAAAATCTGTCTGTCCAATAAAAACAAAATATATCTTAAGAAAAAAAAAAAAGAAGAAGAAGAAGAAGAAAGAAAAAGCAATGGCACAAGCCCAGGAGATGGGCACCGTCCCTTCCATGGCCTTCTGGGTATTCCTCGCTCTTACTATTCCTCAGATTAACCTCTGACACCTTCCCTCCACATTACCCTCAGAATACAATAGGATTCTAGTGTTCCACAAATACACGTGCAGCCTCTGGCAAGGAGTGCAGCAAAACAGAGGCTTGAGGCAAAAATGAAGGTCAGGAGTACAGGAGATAATAACGTATGAATGCCAATGGCATCCATGAACATGACTACAGAGATTTTTAGAGCCCAGCATGATGGCTGAGTGGCTAAATCCTTGCCTTGCACAAACCAGGATTTCATATGGACGTTAGTTCACATCCCAGCTGCCCCACTTGCCATCCAGCTCCCTGCTTATGGCCTGGGAAAGCAGTACAGGACTGCTCAAAGCCTTGGGACCTGCACCCATGTGGGAGACCTGGAAGAGACTCATGGGACTTAGCTCTGGGCTTCAGATTGGCTCAGCTCTGGCTACTAAAGGCACTTGGGAAGAGAACCAGTAGACATAATATCTTTATGCATATCTCCTCTCTATAAATCTGCTTTTCTTTTTTTTTTTAAAGATTCATTTTTGTTGCAAAGTCATAATTACACAGAGAGGAGAAAAGACAGAGATGAATATCTTCCGTCCAATGATTCACTCCCCAAGTGACCTCAACGGCTCATGCTATGCCTATCCGAAGTCAGGAGCCAGGAACCTCCTCCAGGTCTCCCACACAGGCTTTGGACCATCCTCAACTGCTTTCCCAGGTCACAAGCAGGGAGCTGGATGGGAAGTGGAACTGCCAGGATTAGAACCGGCGCCCATATGGAATGCTGGCACGTACAAGGAGAGGACTTTAGCCATTAGGCCATGGCACTGGGCCCAAAGATCATCCTTTTTAATATCTATAGAAGAAACTCAAGAAATTTCAATTCCATGAATGTTCAAAAAATATCTACAGAAGACAAAAATGGTACCAGCCAGGAAAATCAGTTTGTTGGAGTTAGCACTGTGGCACAAAAGGTTAAAGTATCAACTGCATTACCAGCATCCAATTCGCACTCAGGTTCAAGTTCTACTGCTCCACTTCCCTTCCAGATTCAAGCAAATGCACTTGGCAAGGGAATGGAAGCTGAAACAAGCACTTGGGCCTCCGCCACGCACAGGGAAGTCTTGGATGGAGTTCCGGGCTCCAGGATTCAGCTCAGCCCAGCCTCAGCTGTTGTGGTCTTTGGGGAATTGTCTCAACAAATGGAAAATTTCTCTCTCCTCTTATGTCTCTCTCACTCTTATCTATAATTCTGCCCTTCAAGTAAACCAATCTTGTTAAAAAATTGTTTGCCATATCTTTATTTCTTCAAGGGGTAATAACTGCATCACCAATTGACATTTATTGCATTCTAGAAAGAAAGAAGACATGATCTCTAGTTAGGAGGGAAAAAATCAAAAGGGCTTAAGCATGGGGTCTTCCTTCCCCAAAGTCTCAAGAAAGGAGAAACAAATCTCTCCCCATGCCGTTCGATGTTTCCCTGGTGCTCAGTCACTGAAAATGGAAAAGTTGGATGTTAACTGACTTCAGTAACTTATACTCCTACTTGCCTTAGTCAAGTGTTCCTGAGGAGTAGGCACCGGACTGAATTCATGGTAGGAAGGAACATCCCCATCCCTTTTCACGTCTAGAATCAGTTGAGCTACATAATTTTCCTGGAATCGTGTCCTTTTCCCCAAAGCACCTTGAAAAAAATCAAATTATATTGATAGATGTGTTAATTAGATCTACAGGAAAAGTAATACCTTCTCAGAGTCTTAGAATTTACAAGGTGTTTTTGTCCATTTCACATACAAGAAACCTGAAGTCCACTGATGTTAAAATGGCATAAAATCATCAAGGCATCAAACAAAACCAGGACTCCCCTCCAGATTTCTGACATTAGATTCCACACATTCATCTGTTATCAACTATCTCCTTCCTCAAATAAATAAATAAATAAATACCAACTCACTAAGTTTTTTCAGGTAGAAAAACCAGCCATTACATTTATATCAAAGATTAAAACCATTCTCTGGAGCTACCGTTTAACAAACTAAGTTAACTCCTCCAATACTCGCATCCATATGGATGCCAATTCAGTTTAAGTCCCAGCTGCTCTACTTCTCACCCAGCCCTCTGCTAATGGCCTGAGAAAAGCAGCAGAAGATGGCCCAAATCCTTTGACCCTTATAACCATGTGGGATACCTGTCTCAGGTTTCCGGCTGCTCCTGGTCTGGTGTGGTCCAGGCCCAGCAATTGTGGCCATTTGGAGAGTGAATCAAATTAGACAGCTCTCTGTCTCTCTCTTCCTGTATCTCCTAACTCTCTTTCTCTCACTCTCTCTCTCTCTCTCTGTAACTCTGCTTTTCAAATCAATCCTTAAAAACAAACAAACAAATAAAGTTGTGAGATAGTCAGGGTCTTCAGGCACAGAGCCTAGGACACTGTTTTCCTCTAACACCATCGTAACATTTTCCCTCAGTCTCTGAAATAACTGAATCCAAACTACTTAACGAGAAGTAAAAGCTCAACACCTATTGTGCGGAAAGACCAGGCCCAAAAGTCTGGCTGTTAATCTATGATGGGTTCCGTCCCAATCCCTCTCTCACCATTTTGAACATGTTACATTAAACACAGCCCTGAAGGAGTTTAATATCGCTTTGTTTTCCACAGTAAGTCCACAGCTGAATAGAAAAAAGAACAACCTGATTGTCATTTATATTTGTAAGCCTCACATATATATTTTTAACTTCTTAACCCCTGAAATGGAGGGGAAAAATGAAGGATTACCTAGTAAATATACCAGCAACGATGAATATACTGAGAACTGTGCTCTTACTTTTTAATACAGTACTAAAATAAGTCTCCTAGGACCAAAATAATTAAAAACACAATCCCTGAAACTAACCTCACAAGTTATATTGTATGTAAGTATATTTTCAAATATAGAAAAGAATCCAACATACACATGGCATTGTTCCAAAACTTATAAGCTGAATATTAAATAATTCTTCTCATACAAATAATGTAATAAAAGGTGGCTAAGACCCCAGACCAGACAGAGAGCCATATTTAACTCACACTATATGTACAGGATTTTACTGCTAGCACTAGTCCAACAAAAAGCATAGAATTAAGGAGCTAATAATAGGTCTCAGAGAGAATCTAGAACCAGCCCAAGCAGGACAGATAAGGTCAATCACTTCAACAATCAAAGATCGTCACATCCCAGAATGCTCAGTCCAAGATAAACAGTTATAAGGGCCGTGGTCCCCTGATGATGTCACACTTTCATTAACTTATGCAATGTCAATTATAGTGTGAGCCATCAGCGTGAGCAGTATGACAAAAGAAAATGATATTTTGTATTCTGTATTCAGAAGAATCATTGGAGAAATTCTGTAAATCATTTCTTTACTCAATAAACATTTGAGGGAACAACAATGTGGCCTGGCTGTTAAAGGCGCCACCTGCGATGTCACTGCGGCCCAACTGCTCTACTTCTAATCCAGCTCCCAGCTAACCCACCTGGTAACAGAGCAGAGGATGGCCCAGTTGCTTGGGTCCCTAGACACCATGTGGGAAGCCCAGGAGAAGCTCCTGGATCCTGGCTTCGTACCAGTCCAGCTCCACCCACTGCAGCTATCTTCAGTCAAACCAGGAGATGGGAGATTTCTCTACTTTTTGTCTCCCCCTCTCTCTAAAAACTCTTTCAAATAAACAAATCTTTAAAAAAATAAAATAAATATTTGAGCATACATTATATGACCGTATTTTGAAGCACTGAAGAAACATCAAGTAAACAAGGCACAATTGGGGAAATTCTAGGAAGGATACTCAGATCTCATTATTTACTCCTGATTCCAACTTGCGGCCAATGGACATCCGGGGCAGCAGCAGTGGCTCTGGTAACAGGAGAGCTGGCCCCCACTCCCGTCTCCTGGCATTGGTGTGGCCCAGGTCAAGCTGTTGTAGCCATCCAGGAAATGAACCAGCGTACAGCACGCTTGCTCAAGCTCTCCTTCCTCTCTTTTTTTGCCTTTATTTTTCTCAAATAAAGTAACAACAACACAAAAAATACATATGTATATTTTTAATTCTGCTCTCAAGTAACATCAAATGGCGAAAGTTTCTAGAATGCCTAGATTTCGTCTTCTACTAACAGATGTCACTAAAATGCATAATTTCACATTTACTCTGAAAGCATGGATTTTTAACTAAAATCCTCAAAATCTATTTTTATAGAGAGAATTGGATAAAGCAAATTCAATGTCAGCATAAAACACAATCTGCTAATACATTTGTTATTTTATCCTAAAAAAAATTACACACAAAAACTGGTGTCTTACCTGTCAAATTAATTTGTAAGTTGCCAATGTCTTTAGCAATATTGAACTGATCTTTCGCTTTTTTGTACTCATAATAATACAAAAATATATATGCACTTTCTAGATGGAATTGAATAGCCAAACATCGACCAGCGTCACCTGCAAACAGATTCTCTAGTTTCATCACTGCAAGATAAAAGATATTAAAAAGCCATGATGAGAAAAAAATATATTAATGAATAAAATGTTAAAGCTGGTAATATATAAAGCACATCTTATATCACTACTTTTAAGAGTTTTAAATGTAGAAAAGAAGATAAAGACAATAATGCTTAACAATTCTCACTCTCTTGACTCCAAAAACAAGGCTGAATACATATGTTATCTTTCATTCCACAAAGCCCAAGGACATCTAATTGATAACCCTGCTGTTAGAGTACCCGTCTAAATCATGTCACTAAAAACTGACAACAGGGGTCGGCACTGTAGTGTAGTGGGTAAACACACTGCCTGCAGTGCAGGCACCCTATATGAGTCCTGGCTGTTGCATTTCCAATCTAGCTCCTCCTAAGGCACCTGGGAGAGCAGTGGAAGATGGCCCAAAAGTTTGGGCTCTTGTACCCATGTGGGAAACCTGTAGAAAGGGCCTGGCTTCCAGGGCTCAGCTCCATCTGGGGAGGGAACCAGCAGACGGCAGATCTCTCTGTGTCCCTCCCCTTCTCTTTGCGTTCAAATAAGTAGATAAATCTTTAAAAAAAAAAAAAAGAAGAAGAAGAATGGTAACAGAACGTGCTGATACAATGTACCAAATAGGTCTGTAAGAGTTAAACTGCAGAAAATCTACAGCTTCTGTATTAGAGAATGCAGAATTTTTCCCTTAAAGAGAGAAATTAAAGAATAGGGCTGGACATCACAGGTAAAGCCACTGCCTGTGATGCCAGTATGTCCCACGGTCCACGGTTTGAGTCCTAGATGCTCCACTTCCACTTCAAGTCTCTGCTAATGGCCAGAGAGAAGCAGCGGATGATGGTCCAGCTGCTCGGGTCCTTCGTCTAGAATGGGGATCCAGTTGGAGCTCCTGGCTTTGACCTGGCCCAGCCCTGACCATTGTGGAAATCTGGGCAACGAATCTGTGGATAGAGTATTTCTCTCTGTCTCTCTCTGATATAATTTCATATTTATGTAAGTCATTCTGAACACAATTTAATAAATATTGGCTTGACAGATTCTAATTTATTTCTCAAATAGCTAAGATATGAGTATAATAACCTAGAAGCAGCAACTGAAATGAAATGGTTTCTGAAAGCTATGCATTATAAAGGGATTGCTTGACAAACTAAGGTATATGATCTCATCCAGCTAATCCCTTCACAAAGAATTCTCGGATGAACCACCCCTCCCCAACGCTTCCCGAAACACACTGGTCAACGTTCCACAAAGCAGGCCACAAGGACAACTGCATAATGAATGAAAGAAAAATACTCTTTCAAAGTGTAAAGACTGATGATCATTCTTTCATGATTAAAGCTAAAGCGCATAATTAATATCTATTCTGCATGGAACTCAGCATTTGATATTGTATTTTTAAACTCTCAGAATGTCTTTGAATTAATATTAACTTCATTTGATTCACTAAAACCTGAGTGGTCAGCTCCACTAAATAGCAATGTCTACCGTTAGGTGTGTATTTTATCTGGACTTCATCTTATATTCTGCACCTGCACTTCTCACCTTATGTATTCAGAGGGAATAAAACAGGGGGAAAGATACTGAGATTTTGCTTTAAAAATCACCTTAACCTTGAGGTTCCAGTAGCATGACTGGCTATTCCCCCCAAGAGAAATGCCTAAAAAATGAGATTCCAAAAGTTTAGTATAATTTTAAGTAGATCATTATTCTGGCAACACAAGAAAGAAACCCTCAGGACGTCTCCCTCTCTTGGTCTTTTCACAAGACACCCACCTCCCAGCTACACCCTTATTTCTTTTCACATTCATTTCTTCACTTTGCAAACAAAACTTCTTCTCAGTTTGCAGTCAGAAAAAGGAAAGAAAAAGAAATCATCACACGGGGCCAGCATGGTGACACAGTAGACGAGGCTTCCACCTGCAGTGCCAGAGCATTCCACATGCGCGACAGTTGTGGCTGTTCCACTTCTAATCTAGCTTTCTGCTAAATGGCCTGGGAAAGCAGGGGACAGCTCAAGGCCAACAGTACCTGTACACACATGGGAGATGCAGAAGAAGCTCCTGGCTCCTAGCTTCAGATTGGCTGAGCCCTTGCCAGTTTAACCGTTTGAGGACCGACTTCCAAGTAAAAAATAAAAATAAAGAAAATATTTAAAAGCAAATAAATAAATAATCACATATTGGAATAGCACTTAGCTATAAGAAGTAAGGACTTTCAGGATATATAGTAAGTCAACTATCAAACAACACAAGGCAACAGCATATCAAAAAGTTAGTGAAGGGCCCGGTGCTGTAGCCTCATGGCTGAAGTTCCCGCCTTGCACCTGCTGGGAACCCATATGGGCACCAGTTTGTGTCCCAGCTGTTCTACTTCTCATTCAGCTCTCTGCTCGTGGCCTGGGAAAGTAGTAGAAGATGGCCCAAAGCCTTGGGATCCTGTACCCATGTGGGAGACCCAAAAAAGGCTCCTGGCTCCTGGCTTTGGATCAGCTCAGCTCCAGTCATCACAGCCACTTAGAGAGTGAACCAGCCAACACAGGATCTTTCTGTCTCTCCTTCTCTTTAAAAGAAAGTTAGCAAAAAATACATATTATAGAACAAAATATGCATGGATTTCTAAATTTTTCGGACCACATAAACTTACCCTTTTATGTTTTCACACATACTTAGTAAATGTCATCTTAAAAAAAATGTACTTTCTTTCACTCTGTAATTCTGAATTACAAATAAAAAAACTTTTAAGTATTTTTTAAAGAATTTATTTTGATTTAAGAGGCAGCGTTACACAGAGAGGAGAGAGAAAGGACTGCAGTGTTCGCCCAGGCTGGCAACAAGAACAAACTGACAGAAGTAGGGCTGGTAGTTTGACCTCAGACTCCGTCAGTATGCTTATGACGCACGGGGCTCACGCAGAGAGCTTGGCCCTGGGAACCGACAGGGGCCACATCTCCACGCTCTCTGAGCCTGGGGCCTCATGGATCTGACCGGCACGTTCAACAGAGCCAGGGTAGGGACAAATACATACATGTGCCAAAGCCAAAAGTGCCCACACGGGTGAGGTTAGAGTCTTTTCATTGCAAGAAAGACAAGTTACAAATATGAAAGATCAGATTTCTTTGACAGATCTAGACTGGATGAAATTAAAGGAATATGACAACCAAATAAAACACAATGCTGCACTGGATCATTTTGCAATCAGGGACATTTTGGGGACAACAAGCAAATTCTGTGACCAATAATGTGTATCAATGTTGATTTCTTAATTTGATGGCTATATTATAGCTGATTAGGAAAAAGTCTTTGTAGGAAAATCACAGTAAGTATTTACGACAGAAGAAACATTATGTCACCAATTATCACTAAATTGTTGCTCTCCTTATAAGTTTTCTGGAAGTTTCCAAGTGGACTTTTGCAGCCAAGTGTCTACTATACTGGCAGTACAGCACTGCTTAGCAGAAACAACAGTTGTAAGTTACGGAAGAAAAAGAGTGTTTTAAAATCTTTCCTCCCTCCTTTTCTCCCTCCTTTCCTCTCTCTTTCTTTCTTTTGACAAGAGTTCCAGACAACTAGTTCATTCCTCAAATGCCTGCAAGGTCAGGGGGGAGCCAGTGCTGAGAAGTTAATCCATCACTCCCCTGCCAGTGTAGGCACTCAAGCCCTGGAGTCAACAGGTGCTGCCCTTGCGTCTGTCATTAGCAGGCAGTCAGAGCTGAGCACCTTGCTAACTACTAGACCAAACACATGCCTCCTTCAACAATTTTAATAAGAAAAAGAAACAATTTACAGCAACTGTGAATCCTAACAACTCTCAAATTCTCCAAGTGTCTAAGAGAGACAGCAAAGACACGAAGATTCCCACATGCCATGTCAAAGCGTCAGACTGTGAGCTCAGCTCTGCACCCAATTCCAGCTTCCAGCCAATGTATACCTGGGAAAACAACAGTGATGGTTCAGATGGGACACTTAACATGGGACAGCTGATACTTACATTGGACAGCTGGATTGAGTTCTCCCACCTGGCTTCAGCTTTGCCTGGTTCCAGCCACTGTGGGCATTTGGGAAGTAAACCAGCACATAGGAGCTCCCACTAAATGCCTTTGTCTCTCTGCCTGCCGCTCTCTCATTCTCTCCTCTCTCTTTTTGTCCCCTTTCCCATGCCCCAAAGTCTCTCCCTTTCTTTGTGCCTCTGAAATAAACTTAAAATATAAAAGTATCCAAGAAAATACAAAATAACATTTTGAGACACAAATATCCAACAAGTCAAGCAGAAGAAAGGATGTGAGGCTAGGCTGTCTGGCTGTCTATCTATATTTCTCTATTAAAGATGTATCCTTTATTGGGAAGTCAGATTTATAGAGAAAAGGAGAGACAGAGAGAAGGACCTCCCATCCGCTACTTAGCTCCCCAAGTGGCTGCAACGGCCAGAGCTGAGCTAGTCTGAAGCTGGGACCCAAAAACTTCTTCCCACACAGGTGCAGGGTCCCAAGGATTTGGGCTGTCCTCTATTGTTTCCCAGGCCACAAACAGGGAGCTGGGTGGGAAGTGGAGCAGCTGGGATATGAGCCGGTGTGCACATGGGATCCCGGCACATACAAGGCAAGGATTTTAGCCACTAAGCTAAAATTTTACCACACTGGGCCCTGGGCTATATTTTTTTAAACCACATAATTTTAAACTTGGAAAGGATTCAGATTATTTTACAAAGAAGAAAATACTGGCTGGAAGACAAATGAGTTCTCTGAAGCCTCACGGGGGATTGGTAACAGAGCAGGAACTTAATGCCAGATTTAAAATACTATGTCCTAATTAACCACACACTTTAAACAGGGGTCTTACTGTAAGACCTTAAAACAAAAATATTTTTAAAAAGGATATTATATCCACTATCACGCCATCTTAAGCTCATTCTCATAGAGCTACTTTGAGAAATAAACGAGATGGAACATTTAAAGACAGTGCATCACCATGCACAGACACTGCAGAAATATGAGTTGTGCT